GGGAAAGAGAGAGAGACAGACAGAAAGCAAGAAATTACCCCCCAGGGGAAATGGCCACACCACAATCCCTTCTCCTCCTTTCTCCTCCCAGGATCTCGGGCATGCACGCACACACGCCCAGCGTGAGTTTAAGCCACCAGGTCCGAGACTCCAACGGTGGTCAACTACATGGGAGTCCAGCAACACAGCCATTACGCCAACTGCTGGTCCCCAATTCTGAATCATTTTAATGCTGATCTTGGATAAATATGAGAGTTCTTATTGCTTAGAGCTCTAAAAAGTAAACACGATATCTGAGAGTGGTACAAATAAATAAATAAATAAATAACCACCCACCAACAATTACTCACCAACTTACCCAAGTAACTTTGGTATTTATATACCAAAAGCAGAATTTAATTAGGATTAAATATGATAAACTTATGATCCAGTTTCTATATCCTGCTTATATAGATTTTTGGTTACTCTATTAGAGATTTTTATTTTCTGTGTTTGTAATGAATAAATAAGTATAATGAGGAGAAGCATTCATCAGAAATCTTTGGGAAATCATGCAGTGGTTAGTAATAAAGAAAACTCTAGATAATATTTACTTGTCTATTTTATTTATAACATTTATTTGAGCTATGTGCTAAGAACTTTTTAAAAATCATCTCATTAAATCTTCAACAAACCCATGAAGGGAATATTTTTATTATTACTCTTTTTCCTCTCATTTTATAAATGAGGAAACAAGATTAAGTCACTTTAAAATAGGCAAACCATGAGGGCCAGCAGATGGCATGGTGGTTATGTCACTGTACTCCGACATGGCCAACTGCAGTTCGAGTCCCAAACCTTGCAGCTTAGTTTCTTACTTTCCCTCTATCTCCCTCTCTCTCACTCTCACTTTGTCCCTCTCTAGTCAAATTAAAATACATAAATAAATAAAGTTAAATATAATATTTTTTAAAACATAAGCAAAATGTGGAAATCAGAATTTGAACCTACTACTAAGTTCTTACTCAGAAAGTTTTCTATCTTGATACTCTGTGTAAGATGGGTAGACGCCTAAGCCAAGGCTTTGCATGAAAGGGCCATTCAGGAAATGTTTGTAATCACTTAATCTGTAAGAGATTAAATTGCATCCCTTCTTTTAGAATAAGAGCTTCTCACATTTAGGACCTGACAATATGCTATGTGAATAATTTCAGAGAGAAGTCAGGTTGTAGCTACATCATTAGACACCCTGTACTAGATCCCTAAGACATTACTTTGTCTCAAATACTTAATTAGGTGACCCTGCAGTGTTGGAGTGCTCTGCTGGTAATAATCCACAACTTCAGCTCACCAGTGATGCTTAGAACAGTATCTATTTGCTTTGAGAACTGTGACTGTATTGTTACCCTTGAATCTTTAGTAAGTCATTGCAAGTTATAATGCGGAACCATAAAAGTACCTTCATGTGTTGATCAATCACTCATGGATAGTCATCTACTAGGTGCCAAGCATTATATGTATAGTTCGTTTATTGAATAGAAGAAATTTATGGGACAGGTAATATTACAGCCATCTTACTGAACAGGAAATTGAACTGTTCAGTAAAGAATTGAACAATTTGTGGCAATCCCAAAACCCAGCCTCTTCCCACTATATCTAGAATAAGAAATCAAAAGACTTTTCTGCTCTTAGTAGCTTAAAGCTTAGAGCAATAAGAGGTTCTTATTTGGAGTCAAAGAGGGGTGGAGAGGTGATAGATCAGTGAAGACTAGGAGTCCTCTTTTAGGTTAAGGGGAAAAAAGTGCATTTACACACAACTGCACTTAGTCTTTTTTTTATAAGAATTATTTTATTTACCATCATTATCATTACTATTTTTGAATTTGCTACATGACAATGTGTGTTCACCAGAAAAAGCTCAAATTATTTTCATTTGAACAGAGAGGGACAGAGTAAGAGTGAGAGAGAGAGAGAAGGAAAGTGAGAAAGCAAGCCTCCAGATCTGAGACTTGAACCACAGTTGGCCATGTGAAAAGTCCAGCGCCTTAACCACCACATCATGACCTGCTGGCCCCACAACTTCACTAATTCTTATCTACAATTTCGTAAATTTATAGACCCCAGGTTAAGAAGCCTTGTTTTGTAGATGAGAAAAAAGTATATAGAAAGAAAAGGAAAAAATACACTTTAACCATTTCAAAGCCAAATCATAAATATGTTCACAGTTGTAATTGTTTAGGAAGAAAAAGAACTCATAAAATAAGTAGAGATAACTGAAGGAAAGGGGAAAAAAATCAAACAGCCCTGATTTGAAGACATTTTATGAAATTAAGTATTTCTTTAATTTTTTTAAGAAAAAAAAGAAATTTATTGTTTTCTCAATCCCAAATCAAAACTACTAAAAGTTCACTCATTCAGTAACTAGGCTGGATTTTTAGAAACATTATTATTTCATTAACACTAACTACCCTTGTAGCAGAGGTAACAAAGGTAGAGAAGGTGATCAAAAATGAGACTTAGTGGCAACTCCCAATAATCTATATGGCTAAAACTGAAATTAAAAAAAAAACAGATTCCACATGAATGGCACAGACACATGTTAGGGTCACCCAGCACCACAACTCCTACTTCACCTCCAAGAATACAGTGCCTCTAGGTATCTAACCACTTGCGAACCTATCCCAATGAATACATAGTATTATAATTGCTACTCAGTTTCTACAAATTCAGACAAAAGCAGAAACACCTTTGCATATTTTTCATCCATACAGACTTAGAAGATATTTTGAGCCTTGGGGCCAGATGGTGGATGGTGCAGGGATAGAACATAATGCTCTAAGAAGCAGACCCATGGGGGAAGGCTACCAGTTCACATTCAGAGACCTCTCTGAGTATGTCAGGCATGTGTGTGCCCACAATCAGGTTAGCCAAAGCTGGGGTAGATTTTTGGCAACAAGAGCCTGTTAGTAGTGTTGTATCTCTGATCATCTCACTCATGGAATAAAGAAATAAGCTTTTAAAAAGAAAAAAAAAAATTCTACTTTAATTTAAGGTAAAACAGCCTAGAATAATTTTGTTCCTTATCGCACTAAATCTGGGGAGCAGGAGGACTAAGAAAAGCAGTGTTATTTGGCCAAAGGGGAAGCACGTAGCAGTTTACAAGCCTTGAAAGAACAGAGCTAGGTGCAAGAACTGCATTAACTGATGTACATGATAGGAACAACTTTGGGCATCAACTTCAATCCTTCTTAGTTTTAAAATACCAAAATTAAAACAAGCAAATATCACCATGACAAATGTTTTCTCTCATGGTGCCTCAACAGAACAGAATAATCCATGGTCAGCAAAGATAACAAATCTTGCTGCTGTTGATGAAAAGTATTGACCCTTTATTTTTTCAGAAGTGAAATCTTTATTATGAAAAGACAGATTTTAGAAAAAAAATAATACAATTCTCCCCTCAGTGAATTTTTGGACTCCTATATTCATGCAGTTGTATTATGAATTACTGGGAGTTCAATGGCCATTTTGCCCAACTCTTCTAAAATTCTGAATCCCCAGTGATTGAACTATTGGGTAATCAGGAAAGTCATGACATTTTTTGCACAGAAAAATACATCATGGCTTTCCCAACAACCTAATATTATATATATTTTACTTCAAAATTAGTACTATTTCCTCATATATTATGTAATACAAATCAAATCAAGGCACTGAGTTATGTGGATACAACATTCCAGTTTATCTTAATTATATATGAAATATATTAAATATATCAAATATATATCTAATGGCCTGGCTTTTGACAGGACCAATGATTTATGACAACAGAATACGGTTAATATTCACTTTTGCTCTCCAAATAACTGTGCATAAACAAATTTCTACTTTGAAACTCAAATTTACCAAGGAAAGCATCTTCCAAACCTTACTACTGTAAGCTTATTTTCCTGGACTGTTATTACACATAATAAGAGACTTGACAGCTCCTATAATTACACATTATAAATTTTACATTGGATTTTTTTTTACTTTTGCTTTAGACACTTGTGATGGCAAAATCATTTTCCTCAAAAGCTGATTGGTTGTGGAGATCTACAACAGCGCTTAAATGTGACCTTGCTATGCCAAGCTTTCTGACAGGAAGAATCTTATTTTAAGCTTTTTGGTACTGAAAATGATATCTGCGTGAAGAATTTTTGCATTATTATTAAGAAACTAATGTGGCTTGCTCCCTGCGATCTCCCTGTCTTCAGCAATTTGTAGTCATTTTCACTATAGACTATTAAGAGTTTATTTCAAAGAAAGGCATACAAAGTCCAAGTAAAACTTATTTTTATATATTGCAGCTTCTAACTGGCATTAGGTGAGTATTAGAGAATATTAACTTATATAGTGCCAAATAATTAACTTAATTAGTAGATAATGATTTCGTCATTGCATTCCTTTATATTGGTTATAAAATCAGTATTGTAAATTAATTTTATGATAAAATTTAAACTCATTAGTTCATTTGTATTTGTTGGGGGTTTTTTTTAGCCTACTTAGATCTCCTTTCATACTGTGATTTTTGCAGATTTCCCATAGAGAGGTAAAATTTTTGTCAACCTTGTACTAGAAGTATCTCAAAATACAGTGCCTGTGTCTTTTTCTTTCTAATTTAGTTTTCATTCTACTCTTCAATGGAGAATTAAGCTTGATTTTGAGGACTTTCTAAAAGTATATGCTGGGATAAAACAATTAACATGGCATGCTCCACCTCAGAACTGAACCTTTCCTATTCATTTCATTTACTTCATTTCTATACTATATTTGAGTTTCTTCTCGTGTTAAATCCGTATTTTTCTTAAAGGCTTATGAAAATTTTGGTGAAAAAATGTTGCTGCTTCAGTGCAGGCATGGAGCTTCTTCTCCTAAGCTAGATAATATGGTGAGTATTTTCATTTATTTTCCCCAAGCTATCATACTATTATAGATATTATCATTTGAGAGGACAAAATATTATTTAAATATGTTAGAAGAATCAAAAAGCATCTGCATTCACAGACAAAATGAAAGAACTTAAACTATCATTGTACTTCATAGTGATCATTATGAGTGTTATTGTCAATTCAAAAATAATTACTCATAGACTTTTATCCAGTCATGGGCTTTAGGAAACAGAAATGATCTTAAAAGTAATTCAAATATAAAACAGAAATACAATTGCATCCATGTTTATTACAGCATTATTCACAATTGCTAAGACATGGAATCAACCTAAGAGTCTGAAAACTGCTAACTGGGTTGAAAAACTGCAGCACCTATAAACTATAGAATATTACTCAGACATAAGAAACAATGATATCTTATCATTTGATTCAAAGTCGATGAATATAGAAGACTTAATGTTAAGCAAAGTGAAAGATACACACTGTATATTCCCACTTAATATGAAAAACAATGTCTGCACTCCTCGACAAAAATTGAAAGATCCAAAGATATGATAGTAGAAAGAATAACTGTAGATACCAAAGACGGTAAGGGCAGGGAGTGGGTAGTAGAGGGTAGGTGGGAGAGGGAAAAGGGTAGAAATATTTAATAGGTAAAAGAATGTAAAGTTCTCTGTTGAAAAAAATTTAAAATTATTTAAGATTTAAAAAACAAGTCATCCAATATATTAATTTTACAAAAGGGAAAATGAGTGACATTTTATATTTGCAAAATAGTCACATCTTCTTAAATGAGTGTGCAATGTTATCAATAATCTCTATGATGAAATGGATGATTGAAAGAAAAATTAAACATCCAAAAGTTTCCCAAACTCTTAGTCCATAACTTTTGAAACATTTGGAAGGAAAGCCTTCACCAGTGTTTTCATTAACTAGCTTCCTTATGCTATTGCAGCCTATACTAAATTTAACACTAGTTTTAGCTGTTACTTTTAGTTCCCTATGTCATAATTCTAAAAAATCTTTAATTAGTAGAAAATGCATTTACATATTACTGCTTCCTTTGTTTAATAACCCTCTTCCAGTTTCTCTGACATATAAAATGTAACCAATTATACCGACAATTTAGGAAAAAGTCACTTATAAAAATGCCAATGTGTTCTTTAGTTATGTTGCTCCTATGGGAAACAAACAGAAGGACAAACATTGACTTAAATCTCTACTTAGATGCATTTCATGACTAGAAAAAGGAAGAAAGAACAAAAGGAGTTAATAACTACTGGCTGTCGATATATTGGTTACCATACTAGAAATTGGACTATATGATATATTATGAAAATTAATTGATTAATTCTGATTAAAGCTTTTGTTTTCCTCTATTGTATGTGTGAATAGAAATAGTTTAAGAAATACCCAGGTAAATGTTTCAGAATAAACTTTGTTCAAAGATGTAAATACAAGTCTTAATTATACAACGCCTTTATAATTAACTCAAGTGGACAAACGAAATCCATAAAAACAATCTCCAAGCTTCATACATAAGTCTATAGTTGCAACCTTTTCCTCTATATGTTTAACCAAAGTGTCTAACAACGAGATGTTTATATTTCTCCCTATTTCTATTTTTCTGACCAGCATTTTTCAAAGATTTTTGCCAAAGGCATGTGCACTTGCCCAAGAGGTGAGAGACACAGAGGAGAGACAGTGAGAGAGAAAGTGAGAACTCACTCCCCAGGCAGGATGGCCATGCCACAATCCCTTCTCCTCCATTCTTCTCCTGGGATTTTGGGCACATACACACACACTTGATATTCAAGCTGCCAGGCCTAGGATTTGAATTGGAGTTGGCCATGTGGAAGTTCAGTGCCTTAAACACCATGCCATCTGCTGCCCCCTCAGAAATAATTATTTAAAGGTAAATTAGTGATATAGAAATAATAAAAGAAAGGAGAAAAAAAGGATTCTGGAATATTCTGGAACATTTAATTAGCCTTTGACAACAGAATATAACAGAATGTTGTCTACAGCATTTATAAAAACAGCAGGAAGTCCTGATTTTGGAGAATGTCCTCATAGAATCCATGGATTGTTCTATATACTGAAGGTAGTCGGACATTATTGTGTCTTTCTAAACCAATTTAGCAACTAGCAACTCAAAACCATCAGTATTCCTATTTTTGAGATAACATCCTTATTGTTCATTTCTTCATTCCAGTGCTATGAACCATATTCTCAAGCATCATTATTCTTGTTCATTCTCTCTCTCTCTTCCCCTCCCCCCTTTCTCTTCTACTTTTAGTTTTCCTTTTGAATCTGACCCTTTTGCATCGTGGAACAGTACTAGGTAGTAACTACTATAAAATACGATAGTAACTATGATAAAATACTTGAACATAAAATAAAAATCGCAATAGAGGCTCAATCTATTTCTGTACTCTCCTTGACAGATGAGTGGACTGGTACCTAGATAAATACAGAGTGCACTAGGCATAACTATTTCAGTACAAAAATAAAATACAGATTCTTTTTTCAGGTACCAAATGGAAAAATGGAGATTCTCCTTGTATTTCTAGGTGTGCTTGGTAATTCTGTTGCTCTGCCCGTGAGTATTTTTTAAATTTTTTGCCTTTTCTCTGTGTTGTGTGATTCCATAGCTAAAGGGAAATTGTTGGGCATATTTTGATTGATGTTCTCTATTTGTCACTGATGTTCTCTCACTTTCAGATGCACATGCCCCGAATGCATGGATTTAGCAGTAAAAGTGAGGAGGTATGTATCTATTCTATCTCAATAGAGAAGTTTCCTAGAATCTTAACCTAAAAGTCCTTAAAGACATAAAATTTGGGGAAACTGTCTGATAAATAAAGTTACTTATGAAAAAAAGTAAGGGGAAAAATAGTTCAAAGTCTTTTTTTTTTTTTTTTTTTCTTTTTTTTTTTCTTTTTTTTTTTTTTTTTCCGGAGAGGTTTTTGCTATAGGGCGTGTGTGCTTTCCAGAAAGACAGAGAGAGACAGAGAGACAGAAAGCGAGAAATCACCCCCCAGGGGGGATGGCCACACCACAATCCCTTCTTCTCCATTCTCCTTTCGGGATCTTGGGCACGCACACACATACACCCGGCATGAGTTTAAGCCACCAGGTCAAGGACTCGAACCACAGTCGGCTACATGGGAGTTCAGCGACATAGCCATTACGCTAACTGCTGGTCCCTAGTTGAAAGTCTTAAACTCTCAAATCAAGACAAAATAATTTTCTCAGTATCATCCTTCCAACGTGCTTTTCAACATCCTTTTTCAAGGTAAATGGAGACCTGTGTCAAAATCTAGTTGATGTTAGTTTCTTTGCTAAGTTTGTTAGCTAGCAAAGGAAAGCATCTGTACCAAGTGTTATCAGAAAATAGATGCTTACAATTATAAATACCTTTTCTCATATCCATATCATTAGCCAAATTCAGTGCAGATCAGAAAGACAAATCATTTTGTCAAAAGCATCACATTCTCAAACCCTGAACTCTTAAAGGATAGAATATTCAAAAACTTTAAAATAGACCAGATTTTTATCTGCTATTATTCTATTCTATATTGATTCTTCCAAATAAATTCTCACTTAAAAATTAAAGTGTTCAGGCTAGCAGGGGGCATGTGCTAGACTCTCACATGGTCAAGTGCAGTTCAAGTCCCAAATCAGGTGGCTTGAAAATCACGCCAGGCACGTGTACATGCTTGCCCAAAGTACCAAGAGAATGGAAAAGGGACTGTGGCATGGCCATCCCCTCTGGGGGATGATGCTCACTTTCCCTCTCTCTGTCTCTGCCTCTCTTTCTCTGGCTAGAGCACATGCCTTATGGGAAAAATAAATCTTTAAAAATGGAAAAATAAAAGTGAAGTTTTTAAAAACTGAATCCTTACTTCGAATTTACCCATAACTAGCAAAAGACATTATGACAATTATGTCTTAAACTCAGAACTTTATTTCTTGTGATTTGTGGATTAACTGAATAAAATTTTTATTCGTGGCACACTAATAGATTGCTATGGTTGCAGATGATGCGGTACAATCAATTCAACTTTATGAACTCTCCACATGTAAGTTCTTTATATTATTTATGATTTCTTGTTTATATTTAGAAAAGATAAGGTTTGTCTTAGCTAATAGGTACATCAGTACACATGTTTTAATTATCTGAGTTTCAAGTTGAGAGGAAATAATTTCAACTGTTCCCTTACATCAAGTTGTTTCCTTATTCATTATGGTTGTTCTTACATGTAAATCAAAATAATTTACTAATTATAAAAATTCTTTTTTTAAAGCCTATTCACTTATTTCTTCCATGAGAGAGGCAGAGAGACAGGCAACTTCTACAGGATCCTCATGCCAATATCCACTCTCAGCCTCTGTCAGCCTGGATCACGGGTACACCTGGTATGTTCAGGGAGATTCTGGAACATGAATTCAGGATCTTTTCCATGCAGGTCTAGTAGTGCTACTGCTATGCCACCACTTGGTCCTATAATTGTTCTTTGTATCTAAGAAAATTGGTTCTAGGAAAAGATCAGACAAGATATATTCAAAAACAATGTTTACAAAAATAACATAGTAAATACTGAAGGCTGGGGGTAATTTTATTTTATTTATCTCAAAAGATAAACCTAAAATTATGAAATAAGTTTTCATGTTATTTAAATAAATACAAGAGAGTAGATGGTGGTGGAATGGTGAAACACAATGCTCTGTGAGGCTGACCCACACAGGACGGTTCCGGATTTGTGTCCAGTAACCTCCCCCAGTATACCACGCACCCAAGTACACATGATCTGGGGCTGGCTGAAGCTACGGGTGGACTGTGGCATAATATATCCAGTTAGAGATTCTCTCTCTCTCTCTTGCTCATAGAAAAAATAAACAAACTTAAGATTAAATAAATGAAGGCCAATAGATGGCATAGCAGTTATGTAGCTGGACTCCCACATGACTGCCTGTGGTTCAAGTAACAGACCCAGTGGCCCCAGTGGCTTAAAATTCACACTGGGCACGTGTACATGCATATGCCCAAGATCCTGGGAGAAAAATGGAAGAGTAGGGACTATAGCATAGCCATCCTCCCAAGGGGTGATTTCTTACTTTCTTTCTCACTGCCTTTGTCTACCTGTCTCTGTCTCTCTCTCTCTCTGGCAAGTACACACATCCAAAGGCAAAAAACTCTTTAAAAATAAATAAATAAATGTAGGTTATTCTTGTCAATGCATGTTAATTCTCTAAACAAAGTAATAATAAATCAGGTATCAGTTGAATCTTCTGGCATAATTTTTCTGACAAAATTGTATCATAGCACAATAATTCTACACATCACTTTTGATTTTTGTAGCATGATGATGAGGGCTATTGCGGGATAAGAGGGAGATTGATGACTTCAACAATTTTTCCCTTAATCCTTTTTACTCAAGTCATTCTATTTTAAAGCCTCTTGTTTTCTCATTATCACTGTCAATTTTGTGTTTCTCAATGCTTGATAAGCCCAACATTTTCTCTTTTTTTTTGAGAGAAAGGGAGATTTTTGAGATAGGGCACATGCGCTCACCAGAGAGACAGACAGCCAGATGGAAAGCAAAAAATCACTCACTGAGAGGGATGGCCATGCCACAATCCCTTCTCCATTCTCCTGTTGAGATCTTGGGCACACAGGCACAGATGCCTAACATGAGTTTTAAGCCACTGGGTCCAGGACTCAAACCGTGGTTGACTAACTGGGAGTTCAGCAACAGTAACATTACGTCATCTGCTAGTCCCTAGCCTAACATTTTCAAACACTCAACTGTCATCAAACCCTGTATCTAACTGCAAGATCTGCAATTTTGTCTTCCATCAATCCACTAATGATGGTAGGTACATCATCCAATGGATAACAAAAGATTAATTAATGAAAACTAGAGATAGATACTGTTGTTGGACCAGGGAGGGAATGCGTGAATGAGAACTGATGTGGTAAGACTTATGCTGATTCATATATTAGCATTTTCGGATTTTTTTCTTATTGAGAGAGAGATACTTTTGCTATAGGACATGTGCCCTCACCAGAGATAGACAGAGACAGAAATCAAGAAATCACCCCCCTCCTCCCAGGGAGGATGGCCACGTCGCAATCCCTCCTCCTCCATTCTCCTCTCAAGATCTTGGGCATGCACGCACATGCACCCAGCATGAGGTTTAAGCCACTAGGCCCAGGACTCGAACCACAGTAAACTACTTGGGAGTCCAGTGACATCACCATTATGCCATCTGCTGGTCCCAGCATTTTCAGATTCTAACTACTTTTGTGTCCCTATCCAACCTTATAATTGTGAAGATTCTAACAATGAAAATGAAAATAATGAGGATCCACCTAAAAGTACAGGCACTATATAAGGGTATTTACACAGATATCAATAGAATTTTTATTCTCTCATTTTCCTTTATTTTTTTTATCTTGTGTTTTATAGTCTCACTTCCTTAATCTGAATTTTTCTTTTCTCTTTAACCAGCCTTATAACAATTCATATGAGTTTTAATTTGACAACAAATCCCCTGTACCCTGACTCGTACACTTAGCATTTGAGTGAGGGCTTCAGAGTCAGAAAACCAACAAATTCTTACACTAAAAATTTTCACCTTATTTTGCCTTTTGGTTTGTTTCATTGGTTTTTTAGAAGACTGAAGTTCATTTGTATAAAACAATATTTTTTTTTAAATTCTAGCTAAAGATCTTGAAGCTTCCTTGTTGAGTCAAGTTTGATAGGACTCTTAAACTCTTCAGCTGAGTTTGAGGGACTGAGATGAGAGGATGGAGACAGCCTGAATCTTAACCCTAGTGTGATTTTGGTCTCATTTGCTACCCTTTCAGCTCGCACATCTGGGCCCCATGTACGGAAATGGTTTGCAACTCCCTCCACAGTTCCCACAGTATCAGATGCCCATGTGGCCTCAGCCACCACCCAAAATGTGGCCCCCACAGAAACCTTCAGGACCCAAACGCCAGAGCAAGACTGACCAAGCCCAAGAGACCCAGAAACCCAACCAGTCTCCGCCAAAAAAGCCACCACAGAAGCGGCCTGTGAAGCAGCCACCAAGTGCCCCAACAGAGCCCAAAGAGGAAGCTCAGCCACCTCAGGTGAGATTTAACCTTCAAAAATTCCAAATCAGAGTCACAAATGGCCTCAGAGATTTGGAATACCATACCACCCCCATATTCACACTTTCTCTAGAACTCCTCAATACAGATTTTGTTATGTGGCAACACAATCTTTAGATTTGATATTTATATCAAGCCACACGGTGAGCCAATTCCAGCCTTGTTTAGTTCAAAATTACAAAAATACAGCTGCGCCAGCCCGACAGCAAAGAGAATAAGGTACCCCGAAGGGAAGGGCTGTGGATTGAGAAAGTACAGGACAGACAACAGTGGGGATCAGGAGGAGCCAGCATCTCTACTAGAGAATACCAAGGCCCTGAGCCAGTCTGTGCACATTCTTTTATAGGAGAGGCAAAGCTACAAGCTTCAGCTATGGAGTACCTCATGGTTCTAAACAAGACTCTCCTGGCCTTTTCTGGCTAATGCTCAAGTTACTGCTAGTTTCTGTCTGAATCCAATCCAGTTAATATAGCCCAGCAGTACATTATGTCTTTGTATAGAACTTTAGCATGACCTGCAACATAAGCAGAAAGACTATATCCACTATTAGGCACTCCCACAGTGACCTTAAAAAAGTTCCTTCTAAAATACACAGGCAACATATATAATAACATGAGCACTGGAACCAACACATAGCATAATGGTTACATCAACTGGATTCTCACATGACTAACTGTGGTTCAAGTCCCAGACCCAGGGGCTTGAAACTTACACCAGTCATGTGTGCATGCGTGCCCAAGATCCCAAGAGAAAATGAAAGAGAAGGGATTGCGGAGTGGTCATCTCCCCAGGGTGTGATTTCTCGCTTTCTGTCTCTCTGTCTCTTTAGCCAGCGCACATGCACTATAGCAAAAATCTCCCTAAAATAAACAAACAAAAAAATTACACAAGCACCAATCTGAAAGTCAACAAAGGAACATTCAAGTTCTATCCTCAAATCCTATTAGTTGTATGATCTTGAACAAGTCACTTCACCTTTCTACACTCCACTTTCTCCATGTATAAACTAAACAGCATCTAAGTCTTTTCCATATGCTTTTATGAGCTAAAATATTGCTCTGAAATTAATACTGCTTCCAGTACTTCAAGGTGACATGAGTGTAGCCCTGACATAAGGCAAGAAGATATGCAAATGGTTTCTCAAGATATTGTCCAGTATGGCGCATCAGAAGTACTGCCTTTTAGTTGGTTAACATGTATTCTCAGATACTATTACAGGTGTAGGAAATAAAAAATTGGATTAAAAAGACACTCCAGGATTTGAATATTGGTTTCAATCATTCAATCATTCATGAGCTTTTAGGTGAGTTACTTAACTCTCTGAATCTTAGATTTTTAAGTAAAATAGGAAAAATAATACATATTCTTTATGGTTATGTGAGAATGAAATAGAATTAAGAATATAAAATGCTCAGCACAGTGCCTAGAGCATTAAGTGTTCAGTAACACTAATTATAGTAATCATCCACCCTAAAGACAAACAACAAAAAATAGTTTCATGCAAAGGAGATGTAGATCCCCACATTTCAAATAATTGTATTTAGTTTGCTTGCTTCGTTTTCATTTATTCGTCTCACTTCCACACTACTCTGATTCTCTCTCTCTAGGTATTCCCACCATTTAACAGTGGGTTATTTCCTTATCAACAACCACCATGGCAGATTCCACAGGTGAGAATTGTTTTTCTTTACTATAAAAGTGAAAACTATCAGGACCAGCAGTTAGCATAATGGCTATGTCACTGGACTCCCATGTAGTCAAGTGCAGTTCGAGTCCCGGACCCAGTGGCTTAAACTCACGCCGGGTGCATGTGTGTGTGCCCAAGATTGCAAGAGGAGAATGGAGAAGGGATTGTGGTGTGGCCATTCCCCCCTAGGGGGTGATTTCTCGCTTTCTGTCTCTCTGTCTCTTTCTGTCTTTCTGGCAAGCGCACGTACCCTATAGCAAAAACCTCTACCCAAAAAAAAAAAAAAAAAGTGAAAAATATTACCATTTATATCTTAAATCAACAAATTCTTAATCTAATAAAATATAAATGGAATGCCATATACCAATTGATAGTATGAAACAAAACAATCACATCAGTAATCATGCAAGGAAAAATAATTTTGGATGATTTTTTTACTCAGACAAATTGGTGACATGGACACAGCCTGAAAATCAACTAGTAAAAACTTAATAAGCTAATTTTAAACTGTTAACACTACTTCTTTACCATTCCTTCACTTTCTTAAGAGATGAAAAAATAAAAAGGTTATCTTCATTTAATGTAATGGGGAAACTGGGAGAAAATGGAGTTTGAAGGAACTCCAAGGTAACCTACAATTAGACTAAGATCTTTCTATCCTATTTTATTGTTCATAGCCACAAATATATCATTACAAAGAATCTTGCAAAATAATATTTATAAGGAGCCTCATATATTCCATGAAAGTTTAAAATTATTAAGATAAAATATAACACTGAAACAGCATCATAGCATTAAAATATGAAATAGTGAAATAAATTATTTGAAATAAATAAATAGTAAAGATCAACTGTCATTAAACAAACAAAAATGGCAGTAAGAAATATTTGATGACCAGTCATTCAGATTTAGCATAGGTTCTTCCTGTCTACAACTCAATAGCCAAGAAGCTTTCTTATCAACCAATAATTCCTTTCAAAGAGTAAGAGTTCCTTACTTTTTTACCTTAAAAGATGTCTTCCTTTTAGTGGCCACATTGAACTAAGAAAACTAAGGCAATGTCAAGTAAAGATTTAAAAAGAATTATGTTAATGTTCACCTGTTTAAATATCCATTTTGTAAGACAAATAACAATGTGATTGAATGTATGGAAGAAAATGAAATGAAAATAATAATAATAATAATAATAAAAGAAAAAATAATAAAAAAAGAAAAAAATTTAAAAAATAAAAAGAATTGTGTTTATCTTATCCTTACACTAAAGTTACCATAAATCTCATCTACACAGAACTTGCTGAAAATCTATGGGAACCAAATAGCTTTTCTAAACCCTTCACTGGGTAGCAATTCCTGAAATCAGCCTCCCAAGTTTGATTAGAAACATTAACCTGGATCAAATAAAACTATTATAGTAATAATCAAGGAAAGACTGCCTCTTTGTCACCCTAAATGTAAAGCAGACATTCTAAAAATACCATCACATTGGGTGGTCAAAAAGGTCATTTTGTATTTTTCCATGCATAAATGCATCATGACTTTTCTGATTACCCAGTATTTAATCTCTAGTATTAGATGTTCTAATAAGGATGTTTGAATCTGAGTAGCACTCAAAGTTCTCTCTCTCTCCCTGTCTCTCTCTCTCTTTCTCTCATATGTATGTGTGTGATGAGGAAGGTGGGAATAGGTATTTTTGAGTGTTAAAGGTGGTGATGTGGGGTGATTGCCCGGGTATATAGCCAGAATACTGTCATCCATCTGAAGCCTTTGTGTTTACCAGCATCCAGTGATAGATTAAAACTCTTAATAGCTAGATTGTGAGAGTTAATGATGAAGCTAAAAGTTCATAGTATTTATATATAGCTGCTGACTCATTTTAAGACACAACAGCAGCACAGGAAGTGGTTTCCTCTTACATTCACTGTGGTTTTCATCTTTCAGAGAGTACCACCACCAGGTTATGGACGCCCACCAATCAGCAATGAAGAAGGAGGAGTAAGTATAAGTGGGGCTGGCAGGTGGTGTGGTAGTTAGGGCTCTGGACTCCCACATGGCCCATCGTGGTTCAGGTCCTGGACCAGGCTGCTTGCTTTCTCACTATTTCTCTTCCTCTCTCTCTCTCTCTGATAAGTACATGTACTCTATAGCAAATTTTAAAATAATAATAATAGTAAATATAATTAAATAAATAGTTTTTATAAAGTATAGGTAAAGCTACATTTCCCTTTAGGAATTATTATCTGTTAGTCTACTTTTTTGTTTTGTTTTGTTTTTAATTGCCAGCGGGTGCATGAACTCTCCAAGGGAAGACAGCAGAGAAAGAGAAGGAAAAGCAACCTGTGGTGCTGAGGCATTGTCATGCCTCAATCCCTATTCCTCCATTTCTTCATCCTGTTAGAATTTTGGGCACCCACATCCAGTGTGTTTTTTAAGCCTCCAGGATCAGGAGTCAAACTGCAGTTGGCCCTGTGGTATCCAGCTCCTTTAAACTTTAGGTTGCAGAGCTAGCCTTAGTCTCTGCTTTTTATACACATCTAATGAGAAAGCTAAAATCCAAAACATGAACCTATAGCTCAAGATTTCAATATTTAAAAATAAATAAATAAAACAAATCAAGACAGAGACCTAAAATTAACATGATACACAATTTTTCCTCTACATCTATTGAACTCTTTTTCTCTTTTTCACTCATGTAAGTGACACACTAAGAAAGCTTGGTAAGCTTTTTTAGATGTTGATACTGGACTCTAGTCAGTGTTAAATAAAGAAGAAAGTAAAAGCATTTTAAAATGTTATCCTCAGAAAAGAATTAAGTGATCATTTAACACTTCCTCCACATACAAATAATTTAAAGAGAAGATAAAATACTATTTAATTTCACCCACTGAGTTAGTAAATAAACTGGACCCAGAACCCAAGTCTTCTAATACCCCATGTGATGACTTTCTTTTGTTTTTTGCCATAGGGCACATGCACTCACTGAAGAGAGACAGAGAAGGAAAGTAAGATGGCCATGCTGCAATCCCTACTCCTCCATTCTCTTCTTGGGATTTTTAAACATGCATACAGACATGCCCAGTGTGATTTTCAAACTGCTTGGTTTGGGACTTAAACCTCAGTTGACCATGTGAGAATCTAGTGCCTTAACCACTCCACCTGCTGGCCACCAACTTTTTTATTATACCAGACCAGGAGAAGAATCTAATGTATATCAGAGAATGATACACTTAAAATATTCTAGCACTTTATTATTTTTAAAAAGTCATTTTAGTGTTTGTAGCACAACACCCCCATCCTGGAGTCAACTTTCTCTTTTCCATAAATATATAGTATGTTCTTAGTGAAACTTGGAAACCCAATAGCATGACAGGGGTAGAAGGTGAAGGGCAAGTTATCCTTAAAATAATGACATTATCATATCAGTAATAGTATGAAATACTTTCAAGAATATCTTGGTAGGACCAGCTCTGTAGCACAGCAGCAGTGTGCTGCTAAAAAGAAGCTGGACTAAACATGGCAAATGGGGTTTGAATCCCAGCCTGGTCAGCCTAAAATATGGCAAGCATGTGCATGAGTGCCCAGAATCTGATAGGCTGGGGGACTACAAGAAGGGGGCCATGGGGACCAGCAGTTAGCATAATGGCTATGTCATTGGACTCCCATGTAGCTGACAGCAGTTCAAGTCCCAGACCCAGAGGCTTAAACTCATGCCAGGAGAGTATGCATGCATGCCCAAGATCCTGAGAGGAGAATGGAGGAGAAGGGATTGCAGCATGGCCATCACCCCGAGGGTGATTTCTTGCTTTCTGTCTCTTTGTCTCTGTCTTTTGCACACTCACCCAGTAGCAAAAACCCCTCCAAAAAATTTTAAAAAAAGATGGGGACTATGGCATGGCTGGGCCCTGTAGAGAATATTACTTGCTCTCTCTCCTCTCACATGCAGTCTCACACACACTCTATCATTACTAAAGAAAAATATATCATTGTGAAATAACCACAGAAGAAAATTATTCCTATAATTGTATGTAACCTAGAAACTGGGACTTTAAATTTTCACAAACACAACATGAGAAAACAAAGCAGAATAACCCAGACAGTTAAAAAAGCCAAAAAGAAGTCTGTATTCTGCTCCCTGAGAACACTGTCCAATTAATTGCATGATGTTGGAGAAATCTCTTCATCTGTGTGTCTCATCATCTCCATGCACAAATGGAGATAAAAATATTTTTCTTCTAGGTTATATTTGAAAAAAAATGAATGACCTAAATAAATGTCACAAAAACATCTAATGAAATACTGAGATGAAAATGTATTATGCACTGTGCATAATTCTGTGCTGAGTCACTGAAAAACAAAGATGAGAAGCATAAAACTTGAGGGAAAATCATGCAGGAGAATCCCAGGAAAATGGGTGACTAAAATTCAGTGCAATGATCATTATGACCAATCTGTATTGCTGTGGACACCTAGGAATAGACTAATCCTGCCCACAGAATACAGGACACAGAGGTAGCAGTCTAGCTGAGTCCTGAGGATGAGTCAGAGTAATAAATGTGTAGGTGGAAGAAGGGTCAATGTGAAGAAGCCATGTGTAATGGCACTGAAACATAAATGGAGAGCTCGGAGGAGTAACAGTAGTTGTGATTTGTAACTGCATTAAGTGCAAGGAGAAGGTAATGAAATAACTATGGCTTAGATGACTAAAAAATAGTTATTATTAAGTAATATGTAACATTTATTAGGCATTTACTAAGTACCAGGCACAGAGCTTTGTGTGTGTTGTCTCGTTTGACCCTCACAACAACTTCTGAGGTAGGTATTATTTATTATTATCTCTATATTACAAATTAATTAATGGAGATTACCTCAGAGTCATCCTACTAATACTGGAGGCTCGGGGATTTTTAACCCACATCTAAGTAAAGCTCACTAGCACCAGGCGATACTGCTTTGTATGTTAGGAAAAAATCGCTTAGTTTATCCTGAAAAGGAGAACTTTAAAAATACAGTTAAAGATAAAAGTGGCAGAATCCCCACCCACAACATCCCTCCGCCTTGCTCCCCGCCCCCAACCCCCAAGCAAAGCCTGCACTACTCTGATGGCAGTGGAGAGGCAAGATTAGAGAAAAGTAATAAAACTACTGCAATAGTTTAGGAACACTGGGGATAAAGGAAGAGGAGACAAGGATGAAAGTTTAGATTTTATAGAATTTGGTCATTAACTTTCATTATTTCTGGTGAAATAAAGGAGAGAGCAGAAACTTGGGGAATTTTGTAGATAATAGTGAATATTGCTTAAATACAGAATACAGGAGAAGGAAACAGAGAGAGATGAGTCTAGTTCTGTGCATTCATTTATTGGCACTCATATCTCTCATGAAACAGTCTTATTTC